ATTGGATGTGAGTTTTCTTATCTGTGGGGAGAATTACATCTACCAATTCTTTCAGAATTGGATAGAAATGAAACATGCTTGAAGGTTCTCATGCTGACAAAGCTTTGACGAACTGAGCTTGCAGAAGTTTATGCTCTATACGGTTCCTCATGTACAAGAAGTGCTTTAAGCTGCTACAGAAAATCTGGGTCTAACTCAGAATTGTGTAATAAAACACCAACTGTGAGGTTCTATTTTGTTATTGCTTAATTTGCTGTAGTATATGTTACCATAGGGCACACTGGTAAAAAGACCTTTGAGGCGAATTGCATTGTTTAAAGAGTTACTTTACATTCTGTTGCTGTCACATCTTACAGCAAACCCTTATGAAAAAACCCTTATGAAAAAAAAATTACAGAAGTCTGTCTATAAAGTATTCATTTATTTGCAAAACTGCTGTATTGTACAACTTCAATGTTCATGACTGCTTATCCCTCATTAGATTTTGCAGTGTGAAGGTTGATGTGATGCACAGGGTGAAACAACACTTCGTTTGTAAAAGGTTGAGCAAAAACTAAATAGCCTTAAATTACACTTGTGGCAGAATAAATGTTTTGAGTTCTTTTGCAGTCACAGTTTTGTTAAGCAGCAGAATTACTTTTGTTGAACTTGTAAACTTTCCAGTGCAGACTTGCTTTTGTTGACAATATGGGAGCTTTTTTGTTTGTTTGTTTGTTTTTTTCCCCAGCATTTTCAAGATAAGATCTATTTTGACGATCAGAAGAATCTGCCACTTATAAGAAAATGAGGATCAAATGCTAACTTAAGCATTACTTATTGTTCTATCATGGTAGACATTTGCAGGGGTTTTGCAGAGGATAAAATGAAGAGGATAAAATGCTGGTGAAACATAATGTTAATAAGAATGATGTAAATACGTAAGCAGATAATTGTCTGGACAGTTGCACGGAGTTAAGAGGTTCAAGCAATTATCTGTGCTTATTGACTGGTCCATAAACATCTGCTTCTACGGCTTGCCAGGCTTTACCAGCCAGATGAAAAATTGCTGAGAAATCAAGAAAAAGGAGGCTGCTGAAAGCCATGAAAATGGGATTCAGGATGGACTGACCAAAGAAGGCTTCACTGAGCCCTGACTTACGGCTGAGGTCACCCTGTGAGATTGCAAGGTGAAGGCCTTACATATAAGGAAAAAGTTTCTTATGACAGAGTGGTGAGGCACTGGCACATGTTGCCCAGAGGGATGGTGCCACATCTCTGGAGACACTCAAGGTCAGGCTGGACAGAGCGCTGAGTACCTGAGGGAGCTGTAGGTGTCCCTGGTCATTGCTGAGGAGTTGAACAAGGTGGCTGTTCAGGGTCCCTTCCAATTCAAATGATTCTGTGACCTAGTTGACTTAATTTCCAATTGTGCCTTTGTTGTGAAACTTCATAAGCCAACCCTCCTACTGTCACCAACCTTTAGAAAAAGCCACCTTGCTGTAGCATCCCATTGGCTAAGGGGCTGTGCGTGCAAGTGCTGAGGCATGCGGTGATTGTTAGTTCTCTGCTGTGGGTGTTATAGGGGTTGAGCTAAGTGCTCACAGGCCACCCACAAGTGGAGAAGATAATGCTAAAGTGTGTGGGGAAAAAAAAACCACGAAAGGAGGCAGACAAGAAATAAATGAAAAAAATCCAGTAGAAAATGGATTTTGTGGTGTATTTAACCATGACTGGGGGGGTGAGTACCTCTGAAATGAAAAAAAAATGCTTGCCAGTAGGTTTTATTTATTGTTATGGGGTTTTTTTTGTTTTTGTTTTTTTTTTAAGTTTTGCTTTAAAAAGAGCAGGAAATATCAAGAAAAAAATCAGGTTTCTCATCAGCTGGTGACTCAGAAAGCCCAAACTGAGAGAATCTCTGCTATTTCTCACCAAGAAACATGTGGCTCTCAGATTTGGTGCAGGGACCCCCTTGCAAAACCCATTAGGGTGAGCTACAATTTATGCCGATCTCTGAAGCTATGCAAGCAGATGGATTTTTATGGAAGAAGAATGTCCTGAGTGAAAGCAGGATTAGCTTTGTGGAAAATCACCTGTGCTAAATACAGGTTTGGGTCAGTGACTGATTTAGTGGTAGTGGATGGAAGAAGCCAAACATCTGTTTCCCTCGATCTGTTTTAAATGTTTCCCTCATCCTTTCATCACACCAAGCTTACAAGTATTTCAAGATCAAAGCATTCAGCTTCCTGAGCATTTCCTATATTTAGCAAATACCTGAATGAAACGATGACCTTTCACTATAAGAGATGAGCTGGCAACTGAACTAAGCTTCCTACATGTGTGCACAGCTTTCTTCCAGATACCCAGCCTGGTCACAAGAGCCATGGTTACACATCCTTGTAGTGTAAAAGCCCTTCTGTCAATCAGTTATGGACAGCAGAAGGATGCCCTTTACTAAAGATACCACTGATCTGAGATGTGTAGGATTAAAGGAGGGCAAGCCTTGGTTTTCCAGCCCATGCAAACTGCTAAGATTTTGACATTTTTTTACTTGAATCCTTTAGCATTTAAAGCACGCTGGTTTAAATCTTCTACTTTTATTATTTCTAAGAATCTCAATTAATTTGCATGTATCTGATGGATACATGCTGTAGAATACATATTCACATGCATTCTGTGTATTTACTGTGTATTTTAGTAATCGCAGGTTGCAGAAAGAAGTAGTGTTAGAAAGTAGAGCGTTTTCTTTTATAAGAAAGGTAAAAAAGGGGTATTCTGACAATCTTGAATCTGAAATTATTTCCAAAACACTTTTTTTTTTTGTTTTGTTTCATTGGAGAATTTCCCACCAGTTCTATAATGAAGCCATTCAAAATAGACTAAACAGGCAAAGTATTTAAATTACAGTATTCCAAATGGCAGACACTTCAGAGACACTCAGTGGTACATGCCATGTGTTTTTTGACACATCTCGGTTCTTTGGTACATTATGTATTAAAAAACATTTCTCTCTACAACACTTTTTAAAGAGGGCGTGGACCTTAATGGACTTTTTTGGTCCTTTTATGGTCCTTTTTGCTATCCAAATGCACTCAGGATGAAGGCTAATACAATTGTCCAACCCGTATAATTGGCCTCTTGTTAATTAATGTCAATATATATCACTTATTAGTTAATAGTTCTGTCATTTTTTTAAATTCTATTTTCTATTGATTAGTCTTTGATTATTATTTTTTTAAAACAAAAATTGGAAGCTGTCTGTATCCATGTGCAGCTTCTAGGAGTGCACAGATTGAAAAGGCATTTTCAAGAGCTGACTGAAATGGGTACATTTTGTTTTTTAGAGTTTTTTCCCTGTCTCATCTATGTTGACATGATTGTCATTCTAATTGAATAATACTGCAATTGTTTGAATTGCAGTTCTCTGTTGCTGATGGAACAGCAGTTCTCCCATCAGGATATGTGAAAGTGTATACAGTTTGGGGTGGGGAAAGGAATTTAATATATTTTTGTGCAGAATTCATCTATACTCAGAAAATGAGCCAATTTCCATGTGGAAACAGATTTGGCCTCCTTTAAAAACTGGCTGATTTCCCTGGAAAATGTATCCATTTTGGCCAACACTGCTCTAAACTAACAGAACTTTCTTTGAAAACATTTTGAACCCAAAAAAGCAGTACAGAAAACTTTTCAGGATGAGTTTGTTTTCTGTTTTATCCTTCTTCACTTGTCATCCAGATATGAATTTGGCTTGGCCTCTTGGTAACTAGCTTCAGTCTTTTCAGAAATGCAAAACAACTAAAGCCATAAGCTATTGAAAACCTGGGTTTTCATCTGGATTTTCTCCTTATCTGGAGCATGTTGTTGATCACACCATAGAGGTCCCTGGTGCCATGCTGTAATATTCATTCTGTGTGCCAGAAAAGGGAAGGCCAACCCAAACTAACCCCTAAAAACAACTTCCTACATCACGCTCAGAAAGTTATCATGAGCATACTACTCAGGCACACTGAAAATGGAGAAAAAACGTACCATTTTGCTGTTATTGGGAAGCTGAGTGAGTACATTCCTGGGCACCATACTAAAGCTTTCCTGTGGAGTATGGCCTATGCCAGGGATGGGTACATGGCTATAGATACGTGGAATGTTTTTTTCTTTGCCTCTGTGAATGCTGAGGGATAAATTCAGTTTTGCATAGTGCCATCAGGATTTATACAGTCAGATGAGGTAGGAACAGCAGTAATGATGAGGGCACTACTTCCTTTTGAGAAAGGAAGTTGTATCTGGTGATCCTTGAAAACTGTGTTAGTAGAGACTGGGGAATGCCCAACAGCCTGATGTTTGTTTCATTTTTAAAATAATGAACTGTCATTCCTTCTTACCTCTCTACCATCTCAGCCCCATCCAAGCCCCCTCTAAGCACTTGGCTTTCATTGTCTGGCATCTATTTTTCACACCCTGACCAGCATGCGATCGGGTGCTGCTGTTAGAGCAAAGTGGGGTCGCTTCATGGTACAAAGCTGCACAGTGCTTTAACCCCAGTTCTCTGTCCCTGTCACTTGACCCACCACAGCCCTCCCCTAGTATCAGCCACTGCTCCAGGTACGCCACCTGCTATCAAAATGGACACAATAAGCCCTCTGGGTCCCAGACAAAGCTGAAGTCTTCAGCTTTCTTCCCCTTTGGGCTGATGCTAAAAGCAGTGAGGTTAAAATGATTTGCTGGAGGTCACATAGAAAGTGAATGGGAGAGCAGTTATTACCATTTCCCCTCAGCTTTAATGCACAGAGTTCAAGACCCACTCACTAGCTGTTTAAAAATGTGAGGAAAATGGTCTTCAAGGATTTCAAGGTGAGTTTTAATATATGATCATATCTTTCCCTTTTGAAAATGCATATTAAAAACTACAGTGTTATTTCTTTTCTCACCAATGGGGGGAAGAATATTGTCATTTGGATTGCTAATGTGCTATTCCAGGTTGTCATAGCAATAATATATGACTATTCTGTTCAATTTTTATTCAGAAATTGAATTCAGTCTTCATATTTAAACTGAAATTGACAATTTTCTCAAGCGATTGATGTCACAGTTTGGACAAGATACTTGAGTGGAAAGGAGTGGCTAATTCAGGTACTTTTTCATCTTTCTGAGAATTTATATCTCTTCTTTAGTTTTCTTTCCTCAATAGAGACATCCTGAAGCTGGTTCAACTAATCAATATATTTATGCAACAGTCAGGAGCTGCCATATGGTGACATTCTCCTCTGAGCCTGTTCCCGACTCCTGGCTGGGTCTATTCCTGGATTTACTGAGAAACCTCTGAGAATAACAGCTGGGTGTAAAATGATAGCCCGAGGGTGCTGTCCAACATACACTTCAGATTTTGGATTATTTATATATTTAGGCAGAGAGTGATAAAGTGAAACTCGCTCTCCTTATGGCTCCTGATTATAGAAAGCAGGTTTCTGTACAAATGCTCTATGATTGAGGGATTGCAACAGCGTCTCAGTGGAAACTGAACTGGATATGGGCACATCTATAGAATGAACCAACTGAAACACAAAGCATGCACTGAAGGCAAGGCTTGTCTTTGGTACTGTTAGCTATTATATATACTGGCTGCTGGAAAGCCCTGAAGTCTTTGATGGTAGATCGACATTTTTGACTTATCCAAGGTGAACTCCTGAAGAAGGCGGAAGTGAGCTCTCTGGTCTCTCTCACTGTGCAGTTATATGTTGGCTCCATGGCCATTTCTGCATGTGCATAGAGTTGCAAAGTACAAATGAAGCCACTCTATGTTGGAAACCACTTATTTCAAGACTTTCTTACAGCTGCTTGTGTCATTTCCATAACATATATTCTCCAGAACTATGTCCAAAGGCAGTTTAGATCTCTATTAGCACAGATTTTTCCCTCTCAGTCTGTGTTATATCTACATTTCATGATAAATTATTTGGACACGGGTTCACTTCCATTACAACTCAGGGTATGGTGTTTGATCCCACCCAAATGTATTTCCACAGCATGTACAGACCCAGTGCCAGAGGTACATCTGAACCAACAGTCCCAAATGTTTGTCTTTAGTCTGGGAAAGGGTTGACTGAGTGAGAGGAGTTGCCTGCAACTTAATCTGCAAAAGGCTTCAAGTAAACCAACTTACTCTGCTTATAGTTTTGGAAAACTATAAAGAACTTTAAAATTTAAGCTAGTCTTTTCTTAATTGGATGGGTAGTATGGAGTGCAAATTATATCCTTTCATGATAAGGAAGAGAAAGCAGAGTAGTTTAGACTAAATGATAGGTTATCACGAACAGCTTGGTGCTTGATGGTTGAACTGCGTGCACCTTCTCTGTGAGGACGCAAACTTCTATGGGTTACTTGGGTAGGACAAGGCAGTGCTAGTGGGGCTGCATGCACAATACATGTTCAGCTGGAACAGGTGGCATGACTTGATATGCTTTGTTTTAATTACACGCTACTACCTATCAGTACAGGGCCTTTTCACACTTGTAAATGTTCTCAAGTCTGAAGTTGTAGGCATCACCCTTAAATGATCCACATTTTGAGAGGCAATTGTTCCCATAAAAGAATGAGTTATATTTCATACCTGTAGGAGAAAATGGCCCTATGGAGAGTAGAATATTTTCCTAGATGGACTATTTGTATGCAGAAAAATATTAACCTAAGATTAATTCATCCAAGAATTACCAGATACAATTTCCAATTGACTTTAGAAGTAAGATGGATTTTCCAAGCTGACAGAGGCCACAGGATGTTTTTACCAGAGTAGTTATTACTAACAGATAGATGTTCAAGAGCTGATTAGAAACTAATATTTGATGTATCAAATATTAAAATATTAATATTTTAATATATAAAAATATCATATATATAAATATATAATATAAAATAAAATATCAAAAAATAGGATCTCAGTGTAGTTTTGTACTCTACCATTTGTGGAAATAAATGCCTGAAATTCTATAATATCTACTGCCGTTTTCCTTTCCTGCTGCAACAGGCAAAAAAAAGAGAGGGGAGCCAGTTTTGAACAAGAGTTCATGCAGACCTTTGAAGATTTATGCTGGAAAGTGTTTTGACATTTATAAGGCACGTTTAATCACTTCAGGTGGTGTATACTAGATACTTTACTGCTGACACTGAGAAATTACAGGAAATATTTGAATGTGGTCATGGTATAGTGGGAGGTGTTAGTATCTCTCGAGGTTGCACAGCCTACTCAGTAGTTCATAGACATATTATGGTATTATTCATAGAACAGACACGGGCTTTGAGCTGGGTATCATATTTTAGCTCTCTCTTCATTGCCTTCTGGAACCCAGTTTCTGCCTTAACTTGGAATTTGTCTCCTATTCTCTGCAAAGAACACAGCAGTAAGGAACTGCAGATCAGAACAAGGCTGAGTACCTAGATGAATGGGTAATCACTGTTCCCAGAGAATGTTATACCCCATACTTGTTCACCTATACAACCCAGAAACAAAGCTTCCTACACATGCAAACGATCAAGCAGAATAAACCCAGCAGCTTGTAGTTGGTTCAGATCCCAAGAATTGAACCAGTCATAAGGTCAACATTATTCCTAAATTTTAGGAAAGGATTGAGGCCAGCCCCTCTCTATCTTCCCTCTATTCACTGAATGATCTCTCTTCAAAGTGATTTCTGAACAGGAATTTCTTGCTACTCTGTTCTTCAGTGATACAATGGCCAATACACAGAAACAATTCAAAATTAAACAAATTCATTTCAGATTTTAGGTAACATGTTATAATCCCAGAAGACTCTAAACATAGAACTGTAGAGTCATATCTTGATCTGCCAGCATTTGCATGTACTTGGAGAGAAATAAGCAACTTCTCCATTTGGGGAGAGGGTGTCTGAGAGGATCAAAGACCATTGTCCACTCAAAAGCCCGGTCAGGAGCAAAAGGAGATGAGACTGGAGAAAGAACTACTTACAGTGCATCTGGGGCTGGGTCTAATGGCACCAAGCTGAGCTGAAATGGGTTCTTGGGCCACAGGCAGAGGTATGAAGAAGGGACCAGGAGAGCCTGGGTAAAACATAAATATCCACTGGTACATTCAGGGCCTAGATGTTCTCTCCCATTTCCTTCACGTTTCTTAAATTATCTTCACAGGACCAAAGGATAGGGAGCAGCCTCTTGGCAAGGGAAGAAGGAATGTGCATTCAGAGGTGTTAGCTTGTTAAAGACTTCTCTGAGCTTAGCAGCACTTGCAAACCAAGGAGTAGAAATGATTGAACTGAGATGGTCTCCTAGGAGTTGCATGTGTGTAGCAGTTTATGGGTGACATCTAGCCTCCAAGAAAGTAATCTGTATATTTTGTAATTGATTTAAAAAAGAGTAAAGTTATGGCTATACATTTCAAGAGTTATGTTAGCAAAAAGATACTGTGATTTGTTTAGAAAACTGCAACTTATTTTGATAAGGACCTTCATTGTTGCTGGTTGTTTCTTCAGAACAAGAAAAACAGTTATATGGCTGAGAGTCATGGCTATAGTCCAAACATAATTTCAACCCATATACATGCCCATATAAACATTAGCACCTTGCTAATGTGTAAGTTAGGAAAAAAATTGCCATAGGGTCTCTATGATAAATGGAGTTACAGACAAATCTACGACACAGACCTTTGTGACCTAAACTACCATCTAGAGAGAGAAATATTTGCTTTGTTTGGAGGATAGGTTTGTACTGGGGTGTGCATTGTGATGCATATGTATTGCATACACCTAAGTCAAGATCAGATGAATCTGGGCTAGAGAGCTGGTTCTTATCTTTGGTATGTATAACTATCTTCTTCTCCATGCAGTCAACTCTTAGGAGGGAAGGTTTTATTGATGCTTTTATTAATGTCCAAATATTTTTACCATCATTCTACTCTAGCTAAAGGGCCAGCATGTAGCAACAGTGCTTTTAAATTAGTCTGCTCCCTTAGAATGGGTCCTTTATGTCCTTCAGTGTGTCTTTAGTGTGTCTGTGACAGTTCATTCCCTTCCTAGAACACTCATTGTGGCAGCCACTGGTTGTGACAATCGTCTTGGAAATATTAACTGGATATATTAGAAGAAATTATGTGACACAAGCATTTTAATAGCTGGTTTAACTTCCCATTAGTTCATGCTAGTTTTTAATGAACCAGAGGTGATCTTAGAGCCAAGAGTATCAACACAGCATTAATTTCTTTTCTGTTTGCTCATTCACAGCACATTTCCAAGAAATCCCATAGGTCCCAACTATTTTATCGCCTGCAAGGCTTTAATTCTGGGACGCATATAGGCTCTCCAGGCCATGGGACAACCAGCTGTCCTAATGTGACTGCATTAATAACCCTGGTAGGAGAACACTAATCAGGGGGAAATGCTAGCTTTAGGTAGGAGACACAAGCCAGAGCCCTACAGCTGGTATAAGTATAGATGTTCAGCCTAAACAAAAATACAGAAGTGCCTTCGTGCTGCCTCTGGGTATAGGACCCTCATGAGGAATACTGTGTGGAACACCACACCTGTGCTCAGTGGCTAAGTCTGTCACTGCACTTCAACAATAGCAGAAAAAACAATTTCCTTGCCCTCAACACACCACACCAATGTGAAAATCATGGTGTCTGTGCTCCATTTTGAAACATAAGCGAGCCACTAAGAGACATATACTGCCCTTTTAGCAATAATGAGGCAAAAATATTCTTCCTCCCAAAAGGTGTGTTTTGTTTTCTGCCAGTTGATGGAGTGAAGCAGATTTCCCAGTTGGCAGCAAAAAGGGATGTTGTAATTTCCGAAGTGTTTGGGCAGTTTGGAGGGCTTGGCAGAGCGTGGAAACTTTTTTTCAAGAGCTGGAGTCCAGAAACTTGCTTGGCTGCATAAAAGTCTCCCCCTGCATCCTCATGCGCTCCCTCAGATCTGATCTGGTGCCCAGTGATGTTGAAGAGCTCTGGCCCTTGTCTTCATGGGGAAAAGAACAGCCAGAAGTGGAAAAACACCTGCACGAAGCCCAGCCAGACAGAGCTGCCAGCCTGAAGGAGTCCAGTTAGAAATTAAAAGACCTTCTCCTGCCAGTAATATTTCTTTTTGGTCAGATACTTCATGAACTGCACTGCTTCTAGTAATTTTCATCAGTTGTCCAAGTACTTTGTTATTCACTTCTTTCAGTGAAAAATCTACAGTGGGCCCACTGATTTTCAACAGCACGTTGTCTGGGTACTTACTTTGAAATGCATTTCTGTGAATGAAATCTCAGCAAAACGCTGATTCTAGCATCCTTGAATACTGGCACTGCTAATAACTAATGTCTGAATTTTGTCCCAGTCTAGACCTGGCATGTCAGCTTTGCCTTGAACTAAAACACTCATCCAAGCACTTTTTGTTCTTGCAATTTTGGATTTCTTAAACTAGATTTCTTAGCTGAAGAGCTTCTCTTTCTTTTTTCCTTCATGCTTTCTTTTTTTTTTCCCCCCTTCTTTTTCAGAGTTAATGGCATCTATTTCTTATTTGTGGAGATGTAATTTACAGATGAGAAGCAAAGGCTGTCTCAGCAAAACTTTGTAGACTTGATTTTTAAACTTTTTGATCCTCAATATTGTTCAAGAAAGATAATGAAACAGATCAATTCAGATAGCCAAAGACTTCCTACTCCATTTACAAGCAAACATATTCCCATTGTTATGACTTACACTAGTAATGGCTGTATTGCTCTGTTATTGGTTGTTTGAAATCCGTACTGTTTTTACAGAGAGGGTTACTGACAGTCAGGTAAAATGTGAACCTGAAAGTGATGTGGTAGACCTACCTTCATATGCAATAGAACTGCCTGATTCTCTACTTGCTGATAGTTTCTTAGGCTATGTCTGGGCATTAGCAGTTGGAAAAAGCATATCTTTTCTTGTTACATCTCTGGTCAGAGTTGCATCTTGTACTATAGGCAATACCACACTTTAAGATCTGCAGTAGATCTAAGAGTCTTTAAGCTCTTATATGAAAAACCTAGAAAAAAATCATCTTCTTATTTTGAGAGATCAGATCTCCAGTTGGATCAGCATAATTTGATCGAAGTCAACTACTTCAAGTCAACAAACATCCACAGATTTCTGTCAAATGAAGATATGACAAGTAGTTTATTCCATCAGCTTTAAGCAAATGTAACTATTTTATGCTGGTCTTCCCAGTGTGGAAGCTATTGAAAACCTTTCTGATCCCTCAGTTCAGCATGTTCTCTTGTGCATAGTGTGCTAAAGACTTTCTGCTGTCTGAGCAAATGCGAATGATCTGGTGCTCGTGTATGACCCTTGGGGAGATTCAGACTAGATTACGACTTGCAAATGTAGAAAAATGAATCACTGAATAGCATAGCCTCTATTTGGCAAGTAATCAGAAGACAATGTCCCTTAAGGACAGAATTAAGCCAGACTATGTACATACTTGTATGTGCACTTTTCTTTCTCTTTATACTTATGTGCAGTTATTTTGCTCATATAAACCATATATGCAACTAATTTTATCCTTCTGTGAGTTTGATTTGCTCTCTGAGCAGACAGGTAGACTCAGACTGTAGAGGGCTGGAACATCTGCAGCTTCCTTTCTTTGATGATTTTTCAGGTGGTCTGGGGTGAATAGACCAGAGACTGCTTTCGGTACCCAAGGAAAGGAGGGTCCCAGACATCTATAGGCTGTAGTGAAGCAGAACTTTTCCAGGAAAGAGTACTATGTCTCCAGCCAATCCAGAGGAAATGATATAAATGAATGGGTTACAACATCTACATACCTCCACATGGGGAGAGTACCATCAAAATGTTCTTTTGGCTTGTGGAGAATAGCCAGACAATTTGAAACCAAGAAGGAAATAAGAGTTTTAACCTTTGAAAAAAAAACGTCAAGAGAAACAGCCATTTCTCCATCCCATATTGTCTTCAGACAAAGGTTGGTGGCCTTTCTTAAAAAAAAAAAGATGTACTTTGGTATTGCACAAATGAAAATTCTTTACCTGGAATCAGATCACTGGGAGAAATGTCTTGTCCTGCGATTAAAGAAAAAAAGTAAAAAAGAAAAAGGTTATACAGATTGACTCCACGTCTTTTTTACCTTAGTAGATTATAAGCAAAATTGTACATTGTGCTATTTCAGGCTGAGCCATTTGAGTTCCAAGTCTGAACATTTTGGGCTAGTGAGTTTTCCCAAATTCCATCATCTTTGACAATGGCGAAAACCATGAAAGAATCTAAGTGCACATCTATCTCTTCAGATAGAAGAAGATGTCTATGAAAGGTTGATTTGGTTTCTGGCTTGCCAGAGCACAACAAATTCAGTGGAAAGAGAAACCCTGCATATACCCATCAAATGCTTTCCAAGTGTCCTGGCTCCCCACATCTCCAGATGTAATCACTGACTGATATCCAGTGTAAACCGCTAATCAAGCAACTACTAATTAAATGTAATTTAGGTAACCTGCTCATCAAGCTCTGGATTTCTAAGAAGAGATGTGAGAGGCTACAAAGTAGCCTTCATGAGGACTGTAAGGAGAGTGCAAGGTGAATTAATGTGTTTATATTGTTTTCTACTGGTTCCTGATTGGACAGTTTCAGTCTAGTTTTCCTTTCAGTTTTAAAAAGGATGATTTGAGTCTAATGTTTTGGGCACTGACTTTTACAGTCTCATATGAAGACTCTCCTGATCCACTCCAAAGAGTATTATCTGGATTATCAGTGAAGACTTTGAATAACTTGCTTATTTTAGACTGTTTACTTGATTCAAAGGTGACCTCTCCTTGCTTTCCAGGCATCTTCTGGCTGATCATGTAGCCCAGGATGGCCAGCAAAACAGCATGTGCTTCTCCTGGCTTAGCAACAAGTAAAACAAATGGGAGATTGTAGAAGGTGAGGAAACACTGGAGATCAGAGTCGGGCTGGTGGAGCTGGAGGTATCCCAGGGACATGCAGACAGCAGTGAGAAGAGGTGGAACATGATAAGTGACATGGTAGAGCTGCTGGTTCTGCTGTGGGATGGTTGCAAAGGACAGGGCAGACATAGTCATAATATCAGCTGTGCAATGAGATCAGGCAGTGATTGCAGTGCAATGCTTCGAATGAGGGCAGCTAATATTTAGCACCTTCCCTTGCTGAAGTTCTCACTGCTGATACTTGGATATCTGTTCAGGTCAGCTTGTGCATTGAGAGATTTAATATCAAACGCAGTGTGAAATTCAATCTCTCCTGTTAGACGAGCCCTGACAATGGAGCTGCCATGTGCTTGGTGGGTCATGTCAGCATTAATTTACTGCCCTGGGGTGCTGTGGAAATGTCTCAAGACTGTCACACTCCCACACTGCTGAGCTCTTGGCTTACACACAGTGACCAGGCAGAAGGTAATCACAGAGACGGGGCCTTTTAGAGGGGAAGAAAGCATTCAAAAGCAGACACAAACACCCTCCAGTATTATTAGACCTGTTTGAATGTATGTGGAATGAAATGCTACTGACAACACAGAAAGCCACCAAATGACAAAAATCAGACATGGTGAAAGAGAAATGCATGGGGCAATCAAGGAAAAGAGGAGGGAGGGAAGAAGTATTATCTTTAATTTATAATCAGGGGAGACTGAAAGTTTTAGAAACGTCCGATGATCCCCCTCCCACAAGTGTCAAATCCACTTAGACTGAAACAGAGGAGGTTAACTTATTCTGCCTCTTTTAAAGCACACAAAAAACTTTAATGTATTTTGATAGAAACAATAATTTTAAAAGAGGAAATAATCAGTATTTTCTTTCAGTGAGCTCTTCTTATGCCCTAACTCAGGAATTACTGGTGCTTTTTTGATTCAAAGTGTTCTTCCCACAGCTCACAGCACCTGTGAAGTTAATTCTGCTATTTTAGTTCCATTTCCTGCTGAACATTTTGTTTCATATATTTCAAACAGTGCAAGCAAAGAGACCCTGTGTTGCTTGTAGCAAATGAAGTTAAAGAACTTAGTACTAAAATAACCGGACACTATAACTAAAGATGGAATGCAGATTCTGTATGATGCATTTGGTAGGCTTCATAGAGTTAGTTTCTCTTACACTGTGTAAGCTCAAAGACCTAAGGGGATTTTCCTATCCCCACACTGCCCCTGTCTTTGAAGATGTCTCATTTTGAGCTCAGTTCTTTGACACATAGACTGAAAGTCTGTGTAGTTTTCTATCACAGATTAGCGATCTACATGGGAAATCAGACTTAAATGGGCTGAAGACTGAGAAAATCTTTCTTTCTAAATAGTACAAAGGCCAAATACTCATTAAAATAATGTATATGCAGAAAAGAAGGTAGTGAAATAATGTAATAAGGGTGATGAGCCACCTGTAAGTTTATTGAGTCGTCTAAAGTACATAGTCCTTGTGATAGGTGTTCCAGACAGGTAGTCCAGCTTCCATTCTCTTCTGTCAATCAAGATCATGAGGTCTAGCTCAAAGGCAATCTGGCTGGCACGTAGCTGGGGTGCTCTCTTGACCCTAGTCCCCTGAATGTGTGGGTAACCTGCTGGACACAGACGTTGCTCTCCAGAGCAATTCCCCAAACCCAGTGCTACAGGATGTCTCCAGCCATGAAGAATTGACTCAGAGGAACAGCAGTACTCTGCAGCTGACTGATACTAACTGCACTACAATGTCGTTATGACCCTATCTGATGTCCTCCTAAAATTTTCAATAGCGTGACTTTCTGACTTTCCCAAGATTTCAAGGGAAACCTGTGGCCCTAAGGATTCCATTCTGGAGTGGAGTCTTATGTTAGTCTCTAGCTTACTTGAAATCTCAAAAATATCATGCATCTCACTGATGGTCCTGGTGTGAACTTATACTGGTACAGCCATAGGAAATTGTCTCACTGTCTTTATCCACATTTAAGTATTTGCCTTCAACCTAAGCTAGTCGTATATAATCCTGTTATATGAGGGCAGACACCCCCAGATGACAAATCATCCTAACCTAAAAGAAATATTTTAGCTGCTGCCAGTCTTTCCCATGGGCTGCAGATAGATTGGATAACTGGTTCAGGCTAGAAAGCTAAGGATGACTGAACTAAATCCTAGCTTAAGCCACAGATTTTTAGTCTTCCCACCAAAGCTGCTTTGGCTAGGTGAAAACAGCACACATGTGCACTGAATACTTGTGACTGCTTTCTGGATAGCTATGAGATGTGCTTCTAGTTCTCTGAGATGAAGCAACTTTTAGATGAGAAGGCTATATCCAAGGCTGCTATTCCAGCTTTCCATTTCTGCCACAAACAGTGGAGCGACTGTACTTTTGGTTATGAGATGCCATAATTCTCATTTTCTGGGCTATGTTACTGGGGAAGAGGTTTATGGAGAAGGTGTGCCTCGCTCTCTTTTGGCACCTGGTGCTGTCAGGGCTGGGAATGGTCTGATCCTTGTTATCAGAGTGTTCCATGGCCTCACAAATTACTGAGTAAAATTCTATAGTTCATGAAGGAAGTAATACCAAACAATCATAAAGTCTATACTGCCTGTTATAGATACTTTTCCTCCTTATATAAGCTTTACATCTGTTTGGTCCTTCTAACTTTATGTAATTTGGACCTTCTGAAACCATGCTTTTCAAGTCATTGCTATGCAAAACCTAGGAGTCACTTCTAATGAGAGTTTACTTGAAGGATCAAGGTCCAGTGAAAACAAGCTTTTGCATGCAGGATCAAGAAAGTTATAGAAAAAGTAATGTGGGCCATAAGGCTATGAGGGATCATTGTGTTCTGTACTCCTGTACTGTGTATAAAATAACTTTCCCATGTGAGTGCCTTCAGCCCTCTAGTTTTCTACTGGCCTTAAATAGCATTCCTGCCTCTCCCCCACCTCCTATTTTGTTGTTTGCACCATTCAAATCCCAGTGCCCTGATGTGGCACTTTTGCATGTAGTTCACAGCTGAACTGGAGGTGAAGTTGTAACCCAGTGCATGGAGAGCTGACCCACAGCCATCTCTGCAACTCTCCAAATACCTTCTCCCTCTTCCTTTCCCCTCCCATTATGTTGTGCATGGAAAGGTTTTGTCATGGAGAGCATTTGTGAGCAGGAAGGAAGCAAGGAATGCAGGCCAGGAGCCATCGCAGCCACCTGCTTGGACAGTCACATCAAAGGGCAACCAACCAACGCCCCAGCACACAGTGACACAAACTGAGCACATCTGCAATCCATGATTGCCCACTCTTTGGGGCTAAAGACAGAGGACATCGCCTGCACTGTATCTGACCCTGGAGCTGGGAACAATGTCAGCCATAGGGTAGTGCCATGCCAATAGTGTGCTGAATGTGCTCTGCATTGCATTACAACTGAGGCATGCCATTCTTCCCACATACATCACCGTACCCACCCAATTATAACAGGCCTTGGCAGCTCGCCCTGCAGCTTCAACATTTGCATTTTTATCCTGAATTAAACTCCAGTCCAAACTCTTCTAGTATTCCTTTTCATTATTCCTATTTGGAAGAGGAGTGCCCTAATGGTATAACACCTGACTCCTGGAAAGACTCCTAAACAAGTGTTGGCACAACAAAAGTGATGTGGGCTTGTTGCTCCTGGTTTAACCCACACTGCACAGGTTAAGACCAGCAATGAAAATACTCTGACAGAGACATTAACTCATGATAACAACTTCAGTACTATGCCAGGCACTCTGAAGGAGTACTTTTCTGGCTGCGCCTATGCACTGATGTTCAGGCCATGGATTTCATAGTGCAAAACCAGATTTTCAGAAGAGAACAGTCACTTGCAAGGAGAGGGATGAAAGGCTGCTTATGGGGGAATGTGACAGAAAGGGAGTGGAGGATTCTGGATCCTCCTGGGGACACAGCAAAAGGGACATTGTCACTCCTGAGGAAAGACCGGACAGACTTGAACTCCTAAGATTCTTTCATGTACTGGTCACACTTGCCATTAACCACGCAGATTTTAACTTTGCCTTTATGGTTGATTATTTCAACATTGCCATTACTGACTTTGTATGGGAAGTGTAACCTAAGTCTGGGACCCACCTCAACATCCTTTCTGTTTGGGGGATGCTTGGATAGAGCTCAGCAATTTAATGTGTAGGAATATAAGAAAAATGGCCAATGTTACCGGAATGTTGTACTCCATGCCTTTATGGACATCACATTGATCAACACTGGATCTGCATTACAAAATAAAAGTGGTAAGGAAATGAGAAATGTAAAACAGAAATCCCTCAGGAAATACTGACTGCTGTGTATGTTCAAAATACAAGAGAGAGATGTCTCTTAACGAAATCAGTGTATGCATTTATTCAAAATAAGACTAAATAAACTGAAAAAGTTCATTCTTTGTGTTAGGGTATTTTAACTGGAGGGGCTTACTCTTATGTTGAGGATAGACTGTTTCTACAAGATCTTCTCCTGAGGTGTGTTGAATGGTGATACCCACTACAATAACTGATACTCACCATGGTCTAGGGTTCCAGAAAGACGTGACTGAGCTGTGACATGACCTGTATATATTCTGAAAGAAAATTTATTTAGAACTGAACTGAACTAAGACATGAACTAAGAGAAGGACTTGTGCTACCTGAGGGGCTGGTGAATGCCATATGAGCAAAGGGTGAAGGGCACTGCATGTCAAATGAGAGCATCATGAATTTGTAAGAGCCTGTTTGTATGAGCTGGGTGTGTTTGAGTTACAAGATGCAACATTTGGCTCTGGATCTAAAGGTAATTGTTTATTGCATGTTTTATGACTGTTTACAAAAGTGGTTTGAAGAAAATAATGGAATAAATAAGATGATGTATTTCCCCAAGTCTTCAATCCATTAACTTGTAGCTAGACTAGAAATTTAAGTCATTGTTATTTATATTAGAGAAGCAACTAAGGATACAGAGATCCAGTTTGCATTGGGAAAACTGCTGTGTAAGGGTTTGAGTGTGGGACAGGTGTTGTCTTGATTTCAAATACAAAAACGTTTAGGACAGGTTGGTTACACCTGTGATTCTAGCTTCCTACAGACCTTGTAAGATCAGGCCTCCATGCCTGGCTATATTGCAAGTGTCTTGTGTGCCTATAGTCACTCTAACCTAAAGGTTAAGGTTTTGAGGGTACTTAAACATACACACAGAAGAAAAAAAAAGAAAAAAAAAAAAAGAAACAGTTATGGTCTGTGTATTTAAAGGATTGTCCTTTTTTGGAAACCCATGATAGATTTTTTTTTAGATCCCATGGTAGATTTAAATGCCATTAATGTGGTACCTAATTTGTACTGTATACTAGTATCAAAAGGCACTCAGGAATTCAACTGGGTCAGCCTGTGCTTCCATTCCTTGTTAGTTCAGGTAGTACAGCACTGCCTTGAATGGGAAAACTTCAGCACTTCCCACCTAATGGGATCTGCAGTCTTCAGTTAGTTATTCTAGTTTGCTATGAGAGATTAAACTTGGTTCTATAATGACTGAAAAATGTTGTTTGATTGATATTCAATGGTCAGTTGTCTGTTTAATACCCTTAATAACCCTTGCTAGTGAAGCTCCATTAGTTTTACTGAAAATATGTAATTTGTGTTCAAAGAGCAAGAGAGAGATGCAGAAATTCTGGACATTGCTCACAGCTGTTTGCATTCTACCTGCACAGTCTGGGAGAGAATCTGCCAGTCTTGGGGTAAACTGCTTCACCATTTCATAATAATCCTTCTATCCTCCTATTCTTTGTGTTGCCTATTGCGTTTATCAAGTCTCTGAGGTGGGAAACATCTTTGTGATGTGCCTTGGCTTGCATCAAAAGGCCACTGTCAGGCGAGGAACTTCTGGGGAGTGAGCTCAAAGATGTCATAACCAGAATCATAACCTTTGGCAAGCAGAGAAAGCCTGAATGAGCAGGAAGACTAAACTCAGCACGCTGAGATGTGCTGCCTTAAGAAAATAAGGGGAGATTGGGAGCTTGCCTTGCCAGTGCTCACACTCTGCTTGTTCACAGAAGATTGTTATACCATGCTCTAGGGCTGGCAGGCCAGGGCGTATCTACTTAAGAACAAATTCTGATGGAGACTGGATGCCACTTCTACGCCTCAGGCTGCTGTAAGTTAGTCTCCTTTGGTAGTAATTCTCCTAGGATCCATATCCAAGGTAGAGTTCTAACCATCCTGAAATGTAGGATCTATTGCAAAATCTGCAGGCAACAGTGCTGGCAACTTAGGAGTTGCCTCTGGGCCTGGCATGTGCTTAAACTACTCATGAGCTATCTGAGCTCGTCAGCTTGATTTCCATCCTTGTCTGACTCATCTTTTATTTCAAAGATTGTTTGCATTTTTATGCCTCTAAGACTAGCTCCCGTGGGAATCCTTCCCAAACACTCTATGTTGACCTCCTGTACTTCCAGTACATAACCCTCAAAAGAGGTCATTTGATCCTCCACCACAAATACATGATTCAACACCTTATGCTTTTTTGGGACTTTTGTTTTAATTTCTCTCCCCTAAAAGATTTGTAGAAAGCTTTGCTTTTGACAACACAGTTCAATTCATGGTTCAAGTCTAATCGACTTCAGGATCAGACAGTTTACTTTTAGGTGTCAGAGGACTACATGAGTTCTGTACTGGAGGAGAATACAAATTACACCAAACCCAGCATCTTTGAAGACTTCATTTGACCACAGAAGACTCAAGACACATTTACTTTGCTTTTGGGACTACATGAGGGTCACAGCAAAAAAAATGATTTGCCTAGAGAACTGCAAGTTCTTTCCTATGCACATGGAGCAAGTTGAGATCAGTAACAAGTAAATAACTTCTGGTTTCTCTTGGTATTGGAAGATTCCTTCAGGCTGTCTGGCTAACACCAAGAGATATATCAGATATCATGTCAGTGTGTTATAGTAGGACTGGAGAGATCAGAGGAGCATTGTGATAAAGCTTAACCAACTCTTGAGTTAAATGATCATGCAGTTAGCTACAGATGTTAGCTTAGTCCCAGTCATTTACCTAGCTCAATACTATCTAAAATCATCTCATCTTATCTAGTAGTCTAGAGAGATGAACACCTCACAGAAGGATAACAGGATGGGGTGAAATTTCTTCTGAAGGTATTGCTATAGCTTGCTTCTGGCTCCATGAGGAACCCCAGGAGCTCACTTAGAATTGTTGTTTATTTCTACTTGGCTGAAATTATTTCAGTCCCACTCTAACTATAGAAGGGCAGGCTATGAAAGCCCTGTGTATCCTTTCAGAAAGTGCTTGTGGATCGAAAAATGCATGCATAGAAATTCCTAACCAATATTCAACAAAGCCAAAGTAATTTCGATTTATCTGAGGTCTCAAAGTAAGCCATATGTCTGTGTTTGCACTCACACTAGTAATTAAGCCTGGTTTTTCAGTAAGAACCTGTAATGGCACAGGCAGTTGGTAGAAAAGTCAATGAATGTCACTCACAGTCTTCAGTCATCACTTTCCCAGGTGTATATTCTAAGATGCTACCTCCTATAGTTATAGATCAGAACACAGAGTTTGCAGTGTCAATAGATGCATAACTAGCATACAGGTACTAGAGGCCTTTGTGTTTTTATGTAGTCCAGTGGCTTCCTGTGAGATTTGTCTGGACATGTACCTCATACTACCTAGTTAATCGTCAAAGAATGCAAGTGCCCCAGAATAATCTGATGAAATTATTCTTCCACTAAAATGAGACGGATGTGCTGACCAAAGTCAGAGTACTCCTTGTTCCTCTAAGCCACAAGACAAGTACCTTAATCCCTGAAGTATATAGAAGAATGATAGGCAGGTAAATTAACAAAAGCTTTTCAAAAATATTTAGAAAATCCTCCAGCATGATGAAATATGAGTTGCTGGGGAGGACTGGAGACAAATGTCCATGTTGTCCTTCCTGCTGCTTTCCTGCTTCATGAGCTGTGGGGCACATAACTCTGCCTCACAGCAAGGAGGAACACGAGGCTCAAGGAGAACTCAGGAAGCAGCTCCAGCCTTTCATATGTTACAGCATTCTGTCGATCTAGTGGGAACAGATGGCTATTCTGGACTGCTCACTGGGAAAAGAAAGGATGTCAGAGCAACACCTCCAGCTCCTTGGTGAAAACTGGGATGTCTCATGCGCCCGTATGATGTGGTTTGGACTTTACCAGAAATGTTGAAGCTGCTGGACTCAAAGAACAGAGAACTCTAGATTTTAAGGCAAGAAAACATGAGTCTTGCTGATTTGCAATTTTGCTCCATCCTGGGTGTTATCCTGAGAAACTGAAATTCCTCGGACCTGCAGGGCTTGTGGTGAGGTGAATGGCAAAGCCTCAATCACTTCAAGAGAAACAAAATTATTCAGGTAGGTGTTTTTTTTCCCCTTCCAGAAATGCTATGGAGCCATATCCTCTATTGCAATCAAACAGTGTTTTTTATACTTGTCAATCATAATTTCCCTGCACTGGCTCTGGTAGACAAACCAGCACGCTCACACAGATCCCCAGAGTCCTAAATTTTTAAAAAAGCTTACTTTCTCTGAAATCCCTTTGGCCAGACTCTTTTTATTTAATAGGAAAGTTGTAATACAGCGCAACAATACATCATGCATGCCAGAACAAGAGAATGCCACTTTTGTGTAGGTAGGGAAATAGTTGTGATGTACAAAAGAGATATTGTTTTTTTCCATCACTTTGGCCAAACTTTACACTTAGCTTCTCATGTTGGGAGAGGGTGTGACAGCAGATAGGATGTAGCCTTTGAAACTCCATCTCCGCAGAGAAAAGACAGATGGAATCCAGCTGGCGGATATCACACACGTTTTCTGTTCTTCCTGATAGCACAGATCTGATAAACATGGAAGAATAACAAGGCTTTATAGAATGCAGATTTACAGAGGAGCCTATCTGTATGTAAAAAAGAAGGGCTTCAGTTGGCTGAATACTTATTTCTGCTAAATGAAAGTTAACTCCCACGATCTCATAAAGCGAGATTCTACCTGCTCAAAGCACAGATTTGATGATATACTATACAAATGTATTGACCTCCCATGGCTGTTGTTACTCTGATCTCATTTAACATTGTGTCCTGTCACACTCATATTAATAGCAAGGAGAAAGAATGGAGGCAGAGGATGTGCGCAGTGAGCTCACCTGCTTGTGTGAGTCTTTGCCTCTGAGAGCATGATTCGTAGCCTGTGATCATCCGAAGTCTGTGCTCTGGTTTTTAAAATAAAATCTTAGAAACCTGGGAATAATGTATTAAGATAAGTGTTGTCTAGTAATGGGAACCAGGAAATGGTAGCTGCACATACCTGAGACAGAGAATGACTCATTCCATGACCTCCTTTGGCTTTACCATGTCCTCCTGTAACCTCACCTTTCCTGCTTCAGACAGAGTTGCAAGGCCTTGTTATCTAGAGGATTTTGTGATGTGATTTTGTGCTCCCCAGCAAAACTACAGCAATTAATAAGAAGCCTAATTAAGAATCTGCTGTCGCACAGGCTATTACTGTTGGTTTCTTCAATGCAGATAGTGGGTCAGATTCTAATATATTTTTGATTAACATGGTAAATTCTGATCTACTTTCACCAAGTGAAAGCAGAGTTGCCAGAACAGAGTGAACTTGCGATAGAAGGAAGCATCTTCTTTGTGTAAATTTCCTCCATATCTGAAAGAGCTGACACTGACACGAGTTTCACAAAGAGGTAAATATTCAGTAAATATATATAATAAATTCACCCCCATTATCACACTCAAACATCTTTCCATTTTGCCTTGTATAAGTTACAGTGAAGCATTCCCCTCCCTCCCTGCTGTTCCCATATGGATGAACAAATTGGTGCCACCCAAAGAAGTCCCAACAGAAGCAGTTTCTGTCAGCATCAGCAAAAGTTTAAATT